CATAAATATTTCTTTTCTTTATGAGATGTATCCTTATTTACTAATCCATTCGGATTCTTAATCCAGAGAAAGTGATTCTTTTGTTCATACTTACTTTCCTCAGATTTTGTAATATCTGTAAGAGCTAAAAGATAGATAATATATTGCCTGTTATAGTTTTTACTATAAAGAATGGGTTTAGGAGTACGTGTTTCTTCTTCCCATTTTCAGATATTTATGGAGATATCTGGATTCATCTCCTCAATCTTTTGAAATGTTTATGGACAAATTGGAGTAGGTATTGGGATTCCATTGAGCTTGACCACATCTAAATATGATTTATATTTTGTAGCTTAAAAGATTCGTTCAAGATGATCTGTATGTCCATCCTAATGGGCGAAATAACAACCTAAAGCACCTTGAAGACATTTTTCAGAAGGCTTTTTTGTCGCTAAATCAATGAGACCTTTATTATCTGGATTAATTGTACATTTTGTATTGAAGAGTTTTTTGGGAGTATCAATGTGAGAACCTCCAAAAGCTCGATGAAGTGTATATGACTCTATAAATATCATTTCTAATTGGAGAAGGATTCCTGATTCTTCTTTCAAATATCTCTTAATCTTTTGATCAATTTCTACAGCAGATTGGGTTATATGCTCATCTATATATTGTTCTGAAAGAATTTTACGTTGGTAGCTTCTATGATATGAATGATGATATTTGGTAGTATAGTTTGCCAGATCTGAAGGATCACTTGATCCATTATATTTGTAAGATACATATGTAGCATATATTACCAATGCTGATTTTATTTGATTCCTTCTTTGAAGCTCTTCTTTGAGAATATCTGTAATTGCATCACGTGCTGATGAGGCATATATGATGCATCTGCATATTCTTTCAAATTGTTTTGCTCTTTATTGAATGCATATACTGGATTCTTACATGAAGGAATAACCCCCTCCCATACAATCATACAATTAAGAGAGCTATGTTGTCTTGCAGGATCACACTCTCTTTCCAAAAATACTATATTATCATTAGGTGGTTCCTTTTCTTTGTAAATTCCTTCTGCTTCCTCATAAATTGACTGGAAATGTTTTTCCTTAGCAAATTCCTGAGTGTCTTGTCACTCAACTTCACTAGGTTCTTTCTCACCAATTAATTCCTTCATATATTCTTCATTAAACATCTCAATACTAGATGATAATCCTTCTCTGTAAGCTTGAGTTGATGGGTCAGGACCTGCTTCAGAATCAGGAGTTTGGTTAATCACTTTTGGCTTCTCTTAAGCGTCTTGTTGCTCAATCACGTTAGGTCTCTTCTTTTGACTCTCCTTTTGACTAGAAGTCTCAGAAGCTAAAGCTTGCTTTGGTATACATTGATTTTTATTACTTTTGTAATGCTGACAAAGTTTTTGAGGTGTGGCAAAAGTCTTATTACAGCAAATACATTTATATTTTTTTTATCTTTTCTAACCATGATACTATAATAAGTCTAACCTCTAATATATGTGTAAACTTTGGCTCAATTTAAATTAATTATTCATGTCACCTAATATTCAATTATTTTTTTTTAAAATTATAAGAAAATAGGGCTAAAAAGCGCTAGCCTTACATGGAATCAGGATGTGGTAAGCCTACTAGATCATCTTATAGTCATTGTCATCTTCATATTAAAGGTTATTATATGATTCAATATGTTAATAGACTTCAGGATAAGGTTCTGATGTTTGATATGTATTTAAAAGGTTAGACTTTTAGTTAAAGATAGATTTATTATATAGTTAGTTGAGATGTTAGACTTTTTTTTTGCGGTTAGATTTCATATATAGGTAGACGAAAGATTAGACTTTTTTGTCTCAGATTTGTGTAAAGAAAATAGCTCTAGAATGGTTTCCTGTATATTTATAAATTGATAATATGCTAGAATATAATCATTAAGCTTTTGATTTGCAAACTAGATAATAGCTAAATATAATCTTTTCAAGATTAGATTTAGTATATAGTATACATTTTAGGCTTGCATGGTCAGGCCTAGCTCAAATAGCGTCACTTTGTTCCTTGATTTTCAATTGCTCCTCCAGAGGCAAGCAGAATAGCATAAAAGGTATTATTAAATTTGGGTTTACAATGTCAGGCCCAGCTCAAATAGTATCACTTTGTTCCTTGATTTTTGATTACCTCTTCAGAGGCAAGCAGAATAGCATAAAAGTTATTATTAAATTTAGGTTTGCAATGTCAGGCCTAGCTCAAATCATGTCACTTTGTTTTTTGATTTTTGATGGTCTCTCCTGAGGCAAACAGAATAATAAAAATTTTTTGATGTATTATTTGGGATAAAAATCAGACTAGAATAGCTAAATCAAACAATATAATTCTTGATATCTGAAGGTTAATTTCTAGCCAAGTTCAATATCATCATCTATATTTGAGTTAAATTGCGTTAAAGATTTAAATTCGATAATTTAATTCATATAGCTAAAATGGATTCATAGGCAGTCAGAAAATCTTTTTGGATATCTTTTGGATTTTTGTCCCAGAAATCCCATTTTCGCCTTACTACTTACATGATAGGATATATATCTTGTTTACATTCAATTACTTCAAAAATTAAAAACAGCACTTGAACAAGCATTAATAAATTTAATTATTCGTGAAAAATGGATTTTACTTTGAGAAATTATATATTATTAGATAGATTTTGGAAAGAATTAAATATAGCAATAAAAATTATGGAACTAATTATTATAATATTGAAGTTATTTGAATTAGATACTTCAACTGTATTAATAGTTTATTCAAATTTTAAAAAATTAATGAATCAAATGAATCAAATAGATTGTGAGTTTTCTAATAAACTCAAAAAACTTATTATAAAAGTGATGGAAATATATATATCATCCAGCTATATTTGTAACTTATATGTTAAATTCACAATTTTTAGAAGAAAATAATAATGGAATTGAATCTATAGGTTATGCAAAATTTACAAAATATACAAATGAAAAATTTATTGAAGAAGAATCTGTAAATTTATTTATTAAATTAATTAATTTTTGTGATAAACACTCTTTTTATAATAATGAAATTATTTAAAAATCTGCTAATTCTCATAATTTATCTATATGATGACAATCATGACAAACTAGTCTACTTCAACAATTAGCTATTAAAATTCTTTCAATTCCTACATCATCTGCAATTGCAGAAAGAAATTTTTCCACTTTTGGTTTCATTCATAATAAAATTCATAATAGATTACACAATATATGTGTTAAAAAATTAGTTTATATTTATGGGAATCTTCAGATTTATAAAGGACCTTTAAAAATTACAAAAAATAAATTTAGCATTAGTAATTAGTGATAATAGTGAAAATGAAGGAAATAATGATGTAAGTGATTCTGATGAAAGTAATCATGGGTTTGAATACAATGTATCAAATTTAGATGAAGAATAAATATATATATATGTTAATTAACAGTTAAATTATTTTACCATCCCTATTCATTACTCTAATGCCTGCACTACTATAGGATTTAAACCATTTTTATAAGTATAAGCAGTTTATAGCAATTTTAGTAATTATAACGCTTTTATGAAATTATTCAAATTACTTCTAGGTTTCAGTTTGCAGGGATGTTTTAGCTCGACTTTTTCAAGGGTGTGATTCTTTATCAGCTTATACTAATAAATATTATGATTCATGATCGGATAAAAAAATCCATGACGTATATTAAAAAATCGTATTACAGGAGCCAGTTCCGAGATGTTTCTCGAATCACAGGATGATTGGCTACTCAGATTCTGTGTAGCACCATTATTATTAATATCGTGAATGTCGAAAAAAAGAAAATCTTAGCAAGAATTTTTCTGACATAGTACTGCGCACGTTCACTCACGTAATTCATTATTACAATTATTACAAGATTTTTTATACTAGATTCATTTTATATTTTTTCCAATGCATATACTTTGCCTATCTGCTATAAAAAATGTTTTATTAAGAAAAAAGAAATCTTGATCATACATGTCCGTCTGCATGTATAACAAATCCCATCATTTATTATATACATTTTTTGATGTATAATTTCTAATGCGTATACAGGAAGATTATTATCTTTAACATATTAAAAAAATATCGTCCGATATATCTTAAAATTAATGTATACATACGAGAAGACGTTGAATAAAAAATAAAAACAAAATTCTGTATAAAACAAGTATAGATTTTAAAGCTATATAGTAATCTTTTTTGGTGAAAAAAAAACACCTTTTGTTAGGCATCTATGACTCTCGTTTAAAACTTGATAAAATGCATCTGTGTTTTTCTTAGTCCTAGTTTTCCAAGATAAGATAATTTTCACAGCCAATATTAATTTTGAAAAGCCTTCTACGGTCCTTGGGATCTCAATATCTTGTAGATCCATGGTAAAAATAGTATTATTGAAAAGATACTTTAAAGCGGATATTGTCAGACAAAATCCATTTGATTGAAGGCTATAGACTTCAATATCTTTAATGTTATCTTTAGAGGTGGAGAGAAGTGTGAAAAACAGAGCTGTTAATATAATCTTTGTACAATACTCCAACTTTCGAAGGTCACCAGTCTTCTTTCCACAAGTATTTAGAATTTCGTCTTCTTGAGCTAATAATCCAATATTAGGGACTTCAGGAAACCTTTACCATCAAGTTTGGGGGTACTACGTCCAGCAATGTTTAATATTTCTTTAAGCTTGTCATAAGACTTTGATGCCAATTTACCACAGCTTAGTTTAAGATCTATTTTCCCTAAGAATGCATTTCTTAGTAACGGAGTCCATATATATGCACTAAATTCGTGTTCAGACATAGATTGGAGGAGGATATAATTTTTATACAAGTGGAAGAAATGGGTGAAAAGGTTTTGCACATAAATGAGGTCATTTGATGATGTGAAGTAACCAATTAAATTTTCATCCAGGCATCTTCCTAAAGAGTCCAAATCTGATACATAATCAAACTTATTTAAGAACTGCAAAACATCATCATCACAATCGACCAGAAATTTATCAATGCCTTGTCCTTCACTAAAATTTACAGTCTTAGCCTCAGGATCTTGAAGCTGATTAGCAATGAATTGTTTAAAATTGTGTGGTATATACTTTGTATATTTAGCATTGTAAAAGTTAATAACATCAATAGAGAGAGGGTTTTTTCAATCCCTTTTGTAGAGTGAATAATGTCTAAAACATCTACATCATTATATGTTAACTTCGCATTTACTAAAACATGCACTTGATATGTTTTGAAGACTTCTTTTGCTATATCACGGGTAATGTATTTATTTTTCGGCTTTTTATTAACCATCTTCACTTCTTCTGAAGATGCAGTTGCAAGAAAGATATTCGAAAGATTAACAGGTGTAATCCCAGATTCAGATGATGACGAAGACTCTTCATCTTCTTCAATTACTAGAATGGCAGATTCTTCATCACTGAATGTTTTTATCTGTATATCTGAAATGTGAGAAGGTATTTTGTTGCAGGTTATGATTTAAACAATGGTAAATACCTTGTTTTTCGAGGTTTGTTATTCGGGTTTATCATTCTTAATCTTTTTTGTTAATGGTTGAAACTCGTTTAGCGATTTTTCTTCGTTGATTTTTCTAGTAAAATCTTTGATTGTTTTGATTGTTTCGTATGCTAAGTTTCGTCCTGTAACTTCGTGTGATGCCTGTAAAGATCAAATCGTTAAATAATTAGTCAGCGATCTATCTAGCTTTGACTAAAATGTATATATATACACACCCTGTCAAGTGCGGCTTTTACGCTTAGCAAATACAGTTCACAACTGGTTGATTGTGTCCACGCCTGTCAATAAAAGCAATTTAATCAAGCTAACTTATTCGTTCAACGAAAGTCCCATTTACCTTGAAAGAATCTAACAAACAAATCGCTCTCCTGCGATTGGTACTATTATTCTCATTCTTGATTATCACGAGAAGTTCTCGCAATTTTCTTTAGCAAACCTTCGTAAAATGTGTGAGAAGTTGAACGCTTTGTAGAAATCTTCCAGCTTTAGGTCTTTGAGATTATCACGTATCCAATCTAGCATTATAGTATTATACATAGAACTGATAGAAGGAAGTATAAAAATTCAAAATTGAAAAGGCCTAGTATTATGCATATTATGCGTGTAGATAAATACTATTTATTAGTCATATCATGTGATTTACAATTCGGTCTACCCCTGAATACAACGATCATTTATTTAACGCGTCCCTTGGTATTTTTCAATATTTACGCTCGTAGACTATCAGCGTTGTTAGTGATAGTCTAGTTATGATGCATTAGTACTGCGTCAATTACAATTAGTGAATGATGATCCTGTCGATCATAGATCTTAACTTTCTCTAATTTCTATGATTTCTATCATTTCTCTAATTTCTTAGCGATCTTAGCAATCTATAATTTCTTATATATCTTATATATCTTATATATC